AAAAAAAAAAAAAAGAAATGCCGACAATAGCAAGTGCTGACAAAGATTTGGAGAACCCCTGTCCATCGCTGGTGGAAATGTAAAATGGTGCAGCCTCCCTGGAAAGCAGTCTGGCAGCTTCTTAAGAGCTTAAGCATACACTTACTCTATGACCCATCAAGTGTAGCCCTAGGTATTTACCCTCGAGAGATGAATACTTATATTCACACAAAAAAACCTATACACGGATGTTGATAGCAGCTCTATGCACAGTTGTCAAAAACTGGGAACAACCTATCCTTCAATGGGTGAAGGGATAATTAATGCTGGTACATCCACCCAATGGAAAACCGCTCAGCCATAAGAAGAAACAAACTACTGATACTCCCAACAACATGAGAGAATCTCAAAAGCAATACACTAAGTGAAAGATGCCAGAATCAAAAGGCTACACACTGGGGGCCTCCACTTATATGACCGTCTGGAGAAGGCAACACTATACGGACAGAAAACAGACCTGTGGTTGCCGGGGGCTGGGAGTAGGGAGGGATTGGCCACAAAAGGCATGATTGTGGTGAGGTTAATACAACTGCATGCATTTGTCAGCACTCAAAGAACTGGACACCAAAAAAGTGAATTTTTCTGCATGTAAATGTATCGCAATAAACAAAAAATTTGTTTTGCGATCAGTTTTGAAAACGAGTGCACTAACCAACCACCCTCTTCCAACAGGACTGTTCCCCAGGCTCCTTTTAAGTAAAAATTCTGACACGGGCTCTCCATGAGGAGACCCTGGCATCAGACAGAGGCAGATAGACAGAGGCCTGAAAAAGGGTTTGTTTGCTCCCATGTATCTTGATGGGGTGTACCGTGGGAGATTAAGCACAGCCACATTCTCGCAGCTGCTCCCGTGAAAGGTGGAGTCCATTTCCTCACCTGTGAATCTGGGCTGGCCTTGGACTTGCTTTGTGTAATAAGATGAGGGAAAAGGATGCCAGGCTGGTTCCAGAGCCCAGGCCTCAGGACACCGTGCAACTTTGCCTTCATCTCTTGGAAGGCGGCCCGGAGACCACCCTGTACAGAAGCCGGTCCAGGCTGCCTGGGACAGAGGGGCCACGTGGAGGGGAACCAAGGGCCCTACCAGCTCAGCACCAACTGCCAACCTACGATGGGCCTTCCAGTCCGGCCAACCTGCCACTGAATGTCGCC